GGAAGACATATATATATATATATCTATATACATATAGATATATATATATATATACACATACATATATCTCAAACCATCAACAAAGACATAATCAAGCCCAATTAAGACAAAATTGTGTATATTAAGGCAGTGGTGCTCAAACTGTGGTACGCGAGCGCTCTCTAGTGGTACGCAGGGAAAATTCATTTTTTTTACATTTACATTTTCAGTTGACTAAATCTGAAAAATACCATGCACAATTAGTATAACATTTAAACATCAACATCTCTCTAAACATCTTTCTAAACATTTATAAACCTCTCTCCTGTGTTGGAAGCTAATAGGGAAGGCCTTTGCTGCTATGTTCTAATGTTCAGTGAGCTCAACTTTTTCTCAGGTGGTACAGAGTAGAAAAAGTTGGAGAACCACTGAATTAAGGAAATCTTTGAGATGAAAATTAATTTAAAATGTTATCAAACATTTACAAAACATTTTACTTATGAAAAAAAAGTGGCTGAAAACGCAGGTTTGTGTCAAATATCCCTCTTCTGACACTTTTCTGTGTTTTGTTCTTTCTTTCTATTTCTGTTGTATTTATTACCAGTTAAACTGCCACTTCACACAAGGAGCTGTTTGAATAAATGAATAAATGATTCAGTTTAGTAGCCAGTCAGTGTGTGTGCACAGCTTGAACAATGCACCAAAACACACATGATGGTTTTTATAGGTCTGAATTTGATTTCTGTCAGAAAAGAAAAGACAAAGCTTCCTCTTTTGAGCAATTGAGCAACTTTTTTAAAGGGCAAATCATTGAAATCCACGTCACAGACAGGCAGATTAGTAACAGAGTAATGGCACGTGTGGATCCCTGCCTCCCTGTGCTCCTCTTCCCTCCGTGTTGACGGCGTGTTGTTGTTGTTGCAGAGCTGAGCAGAGAGTGGGGCTGGTCTGTGCAGCCTGCAGAGGTCATTCTCACTACACTTGCCACTTGTTGCAAAAGGCTGCTCTCAGTCTCTTTCATTCAACACCATCCAAAAGAATCCAGCAGCAGCAGCAGCAGCAGCAGCAGACAACCATCCACACTTGATGTGTTCATGCTGGATGCAGGACTGAAGGGAAGAGAGACTCGTGAGGAACGTTTCCACAGAAGCATGGTTGATAACACAAGTATAGCAACTAAATCTACTTTGGTAAGAACTCTCTTCATATATTGTTACATTTTGAAGTTTTTTATTTTTTTTATTTAAAGTTTTGGACTTTTGGAAGTGTTTAAAGGAGATAGTGTTTTGACTTTTGCCAAGTCAACACCAAAAGTTTACAAGAGTTTATAAGTGTTGTCGTTGTTTTTTTGAATTTTTTATTCGACATTACTTTCGAACTCTGTGGCGTGTGTTTACCTGGCATGTTGTCGAACTTGGCAGAACCAACTCTCCTTTTCTCTCTCCTCCAGGCTGCCTCCTCCCACAGCGCCTTCCCGGGCTCCCTGTCCCAACAGGCCAGCGGCGGCATGAAGCTAGAGGCGGTCATGGAGAACCTGCAGCGGCAGCAGGCGGCGCGGCTGGCGCTGGAGGAGAAGCTCCGACAGGCGGAGAAGGAGAGAGACCTCCGGCCCCTGATGGAGTCCCATATACACCAACAAGCGCTGGCTTTCCGCCACTATCAGGCGGCGATGCGAAGCGCCCTGGCCATCGGAGTTCCTCACGCGTCACCCGCCGCCGCGACGCTCCCACACACAGAGGTCCGCCGGGGGGTCGAGAAGGACGCTGACTCTCTTCGACCGGGCAGCGACATGGAGAAGACCGAGGAAGGAGGGGATGCGGAGGAGCAGGAGCTCATGGATGAAGAGGAGGAGGAGGAGCAGGAGGAGGACATCGGCTTAAACCACTTCCAGCACCGGCATGCTGCGCTGCAGGGAGCGGGTCTTTCTCCCAAGAGCGCCCCGGTGCATCTCATAGCCAGACACCCAGCGGCCTTTGCCCCGGCCCGGCGCCCTGACTCCCCTCTGCAGTCCCAGTCCCAGTCCCAGTCCCAGTCCCAGTCGCAGTCCCAGCCCCATGAGTGGACCTACGAGGAGCAGTTCAAACAGGTGAGCCTCACTGGATCCACAGCATTATGAAGTTAGCTTTTACTTCTGTTGTTGTTGTTGTTTTAAAACTTTTAAACAACTTAAGTTAAACAAATAAACAAACAAACAAAAAAACAACAAAGTTGTGCCACAATCTTTAAATCAAAGTTGATAGTTTCATCAAACATCAAACTTTGATTCAAAGATTGTTTTGATTTAAACATTTTAAGTGAAATGTAATTATAAATTAAATAATTTTGAATATTCAGCTGACCCCTTCCTATCCTTTATAGCATACTTCCCAAACCCACAACAATGCTGCAGTATATATATTGTAATAATACTAATAATGATATAGTGTTTAATCATAAATGACAGTACCCGATGACTGCGTAAAACCACTTCTACAGTTGTTACAAGAGATACCTTGTGTTGTTGTTGGAAAACTGCATTGTTTTTCTTTGGAATGTTCCTAAAAGTACAGATTAGAAAGTAGGTTTTTAATAAATTAAAAAATTTCAATAATACAACTGGAGGCTAAATCTCCAGCATTTCCCAATCTTTATGTTATTTTTTCAAAAACATCATATATATAACAATATGTGTACATGAATTAAAACTAAAAAGCTGTACACACAAGTCCCATATAATTTAGACCTTAATTGAAACATATTTTACATAGATTGACAGCAACAATTACTGGTATTATTTATTATTTAGTTATTATTTATTTACCAAAATCACAGTTCTTTTGATGCAGACACATATTTGATTGGTCTTTCGCAGATGGTCAAATCAAGCTAACTTTATTTGTCTCATTTTAGAAGCAATTAAACTCAATGTACAGTACAATCATTAACAATATTCAACATCAAACCAGACGTGACAACAACACAAAAACAAACAAAAACAACAATGGAAAAATGTACCTGTAAAATTTTTTTTTTGTTTTTTTTTTTTTTAAAGTAAAAAACACTCCTACTCATGGCTGGGGGTGTGTCAGCTGTATTTGTTTTGACACTTGAATCTGCACTTACTCTAATTAATGTCTGATAACTGACATAAACGCTTCATTGAATATCAATATGACTTTTTGGAAGCTTGATTAATTCTAATGTATTCCTGGTTGTGTTTGTTTCATTACGACCGGTCATTTATTGAGGGCATTTCCTCTAAACAGCTCTCATGTTTACAGTCTAGTAAATGACAGTAAGTTATGTGAGGGATATACTGTACACATGATACGGTGTGTGTACACGTACATATATTTAAATACTGTGTATGATTCCAGGTGGCAGCGAGCAGATCTATACTCCCTGAGCGATTGTGGATGCTCCGTGTCATCTTTTATTTATGACGGATCATTTACAGACTTCCCCAAATGTGATGTGTACATTAGTGACTGCATTAGTGCTGTACATTAAAGTCAGCCAGTGAATGGAAATGCAATTTAAATAGGGGCTGAAACCAATACTGTCTGTGCATAGAGACATTATATTCATTATAAGGGGAGGATGGTGGAGGAAATCTCTCCTATGAAATCATTTTTTTAATTTTTACTTTACCTGTGGTTTACTTCTATAACTGCACCAAGAGTGTGTGTTGTCAGTTTGTTTGGATTGGACGGTCAGCTGTGTCATAACCAGTGGAGGAGTTCTTGTGTTCTTGTTTTGAGGATCCACCTACCGTTGTCATTACAAAGCATTTGGTCTTAGCTAAAACACACTTTAATTTTCATTAAGGTTTGTTTCCGGTGGCCGTGAACGCATCATGCCCCACGTTAAGCTGGTCTATATGCTTCAAAGATTCCTCAGGATGTGCAGTTAGTGCAGGGGTCATTTGTATGTAGTCATTCAGTGTAATGGTCATGGGACAATAAAAGGATGCTTATGGCTGCTAGGCAGACAGAGTGGAGCCAGAGTACTAAGCATGCTCAAAGCTGCAAAACAAAACCACATTTGAAGGCAGTAAATGCATCTTTTGAAATAGGAACAAGATGTGGGCTAAATATAAAAAAGGCCCCACTGAGGCAGACAAGTTTTAATCTGATCTGGACCAAAAGGGACCACTGTGTGTTTACGGCATCAGCTGAAAAACCTCAGGAGAGTCAGTGTTAGCAAAAGCCATAAAAACATTGAAAGGTTATTATGGTTATTATATTTCTCATTGATTTTCATTTATATGTATATATAGATGGCATTTTAAATTAATATGGAAGCATTAAAAAGGAATTTGTATTATGTTAATGACGTGTTATTGTGTAGGGTTACAGGTAAATAAAAGTATTACAAAATGTAAATAGTTTAATAACTGCTTGGTTATAAATTAATAGAAGTCATTCCCATGTGATCCCGATTGATTTTTAGCATTATGTGTTAGCTCTGCGTCCACAGCCAAATTTAGGCTTTAATGTGATATAAAACCAAAAAGGATAATTTCACTTCCTGTTTCCCGTGACAGCAGATGTTATGTGGCATTTCCGTGACACAAGGCAAGCTTTCCTAATTTACCTAAATTACCAAATGAAATCGGTGATAATGAAATGGAATGTGTGCTAATAATAATTTCAGGAGAAGATAACATTAAAGTTAACGTTAATTCCAAGTAGAATGTAATAAGAAAGTGGGGGAAGTGCTGAAAAAAATGATAATATAATGATAATGTTTTAATAAGTTTTAATTGGAATTATTTAAGACCCTTATCAGTCATATACATTTAATTAAAATGGGTGGCAAACAAAATTGGCAATTAACATTGTAGTGGGTTAGATTTTATCATTAAGTGTACTTCCCGCTTATATTTGATGAATGAATTTCTGTTATTCATATGTGGAGAAAATGTAGCGATATCTATGTAAAATATATAAAATACTACAGAAGACATACAATTAAAATGCTTTTTAAAAATATGCTACTATGTCATATCTTAGTCAGATTAATGTTTTTCTTAGTTGGCATACAACTGCATATGTATTAAATGTACACCACAATGTACACCACAAACCACAGGCTGAGGGAATCACAGAGGAGGAGCAGGAAGAGGAGGAGAAGAAACTGTTGCGTGTAGTTTTGGCAGCGGCTCAGGAAATGCAGGGAGCCAGACCTGGTGGTGGTATTCCTGTCTGGCACACACCCAAAAAATGCTGGGATCTCCCTGTGTGCAGGCAAATGTGTGCAGCTGGGAATGGGCTGGGTGCCAAACTATTACGACAGTAGCAAAATTGCGTGCTGTTACACACTTGACCATGGCTTCCTCCCTGAAACGCACATGCATTATTTACAAGCGCACTGGCACGGACACGAGAGCCTGCAGGCATTTGTGTAAACGGCTGTGGTAATAAAGTGGAAGAGGCTGCAGAGGGAGAACGAGTCAGTGCTTTTTTAGCACCGATAATAATAATAATAATAATAATAATAATAATAATAATAATAATAATAATAATAATAATAATAATAATAATAATAATAATAATAATAATAATAATAATAATAATAATAATAATAATAATAATAATAATAATAATAATAATAATAATAATAATAATAATAATAATAATAATGAATGAATGAAACAACATGAGGTTTAACTTTATGTGCAGAAATAATCTGAGAATATTTCCAGTTTCCTATTTTGGCAGCTGATTTAAAACAACATACTTCTAACCTGCCATGGCTGCTGACAGTGAGTGACTTAGTAGAGAAACATGAATGGTCTGTACAGTGACATGTTTGAATCATGTGATTGTAGAACTAGAAGTGGGTTGGATAACCTGCTTTAAGAGTGTTAAAACTGATTATTTGTTTTTAAGGTGGTAATTGAAATTGACTTTAAAGTAGTAAATTAATATGCAGATGCAGCATTAACTTTGTGTAATTATTTTACAACTATAACCCTTGTGCTTTAGAACACTAACAGTTTGTCAAATCAAAAACAGTAATTCACAGATTAAATTGTATTAAAATTCAGACATAAAAGTGAAAAGTACGATATACACTGCAAAAGTGTAATATATACAAGTGATATATATACTGCACTCATATATACTAATATATAAATATATACTGTAAACTGTGTGAAACAGTGTGGAGGTATTTCAAAAATATAAAAGTACAAGTGAAAGCAGAAACATACATTAGTGGACTTTATTTGTCCACTGTACAAAAGTCATAAAATAAAGGTTTCCACTAAAAATACATTTTCTAGAATTTAGTAAAATGTCATTGACACGTGTAGTAAACTGTGCTCTACACAAAGTACTTATATTTTTAAAAAGAACCTGCTTTGTCTTACTCTTCACACTGAATGTTGGGAAAGCCACTCCTTTTAGTGGATTCACCTCTTCCAGCTTGTTTTCCAACATCTATAGAAAAATGGTCAAGAAGGAGGAGACTCCCCCTCCCCCTGCCACTCAAATCATCCACACTGCAAACAAATCTATCTTTACACATCATGTGATATTTGAGCAGGATATTCGCGGCACATTCATAAAACTAGCTGATAAAATATGACAAATCTGCTGTCTGTATGCTGAAGACAAAAGCTGCTCCACTAACGCTGGCCTGTACACAGACCTGCTCTGGTGCAAAGATACAGTAAGTTATTTAATTATAAACAGCATGAAAAGTTTTAAAAGGTTTATTCTTCTACAGGAGAGATTTCTGTTGATTGAAATAATGTGTTTTTATGCAGAATGTCAATAGACCTCGTACATAACTATTCCTCTGCTGCAGGTGTTCCGAACATGTTGCCAAATCACTGGTGCAAAGAATTGTTTGATGTCAGTTAAAATTGTGCAACACATGTATTTAAAAATATCGTTTAAATGTATTGTTGTGGAGACTTTTATTGGACCGCATGAGGATTTTCTGGGCAGAATCTACACCTGTGAGAATGTTGAGACTAAAACTTCATTATCTCTTATTTTTAGGCATAATATACAGTGTGAATTCAGAATCAACATTTGAACTGATCCTGTTCCTCCCCCCACCTATCACTCTTTCACAGTACTACTACTGAGCAGA